TGGGGCTTGCAGGGGGACACGAGGCCGCGTGGCCGGCAGTGGGCCTCCCCGGGGCCGCGAGAGTCCCTCGCGCTGGCCTCCACCGGCCCACAGAGGCGGGCACACTCTGCCGGGCCAGATGAGGCTGAGGGGCCAGAGCGTGACCCAGCGGCTCCCACTCGGGGGTTCATTCCGCGCGAAGAGCCTCTGGCGAGCCATGCCTCTGCCTCGCCCTCGGAAGAAGGGCTCAGACGGGCCCTGTGGAGACGGCCCGGGCGTGACGGGTGCAGGGGAGCGTGAGGCCGCCATCCGGGACTGAGAGGCTGTTTGCCCACCGGGGCTGGGGCGGGACGAGGAGACTCGGGCGACTCGGCTCTCCCCACGCCCCTGCGGAGGGCCCCGGGGGAGGCGGCCTGAGGTGGACAACAGACGCTCAGGCAGCCGGAGGCAGGACCCACCTGGACCGAGGACGCCCAGGGCAGCACGGAGCCTCCGTCCCCTCCGGCCTCCGTCCCGGGACGTCACGCCCTCAGGGCTGGCCGCGCCGCGAGCGCGCCTGCAGCAGGTGGCCAGAAGGCAAACGAGGCGGGGGCGGCGTCGGAGCGAGGTCTTCTGGAAGCCAGCGGGGGCTTCCCACGCTGCCTCCGGGAGAGGGCGCCCTGGGCCTGCCGCGGCCGGGCTCCTCTTTGAGCTCCAGAGACCCGCTTGCGCTGCCTGATGGTGCCGGGGGATCTCACTGGGGTCAGGGGCGAAGCTACTGGGCTTGTCTGGAGGGTGTGGTGGGAGCAGACGGCAGACTCTGGGTCCCTTGAAGGCGCACGCGGTCTGTGGGGCTCCAGGGCTTCGCTTCTGCTCTGCAGCGCAGCCTCTGCATGCGACGTTGGCGTCGAGTCGCTTCCACCTCCTGGCCTTGCCTGGCCTCCCGCCGAGGTCCGTGGGGGGGGGCTGGGGTCCTGTCGGCTGGGCCAAGCAGCTGGGCGGTCGAGCCCACCCGAGGGGCCGTCGGCTGGGCTGTTGGCATTTGTTCCTTCCATCCGGGAGAGAGAGCGGGCTGTAGCTGCGGCAGCCTCACTCCCCAGGGTCTGTTCTCCCCCTCCAGGCGAAAGCAAGTCCCCTCCTCGCCCCTGCGGCTTGAACCACTCGGACTCCCTCAGCCGCAGTGACCGCGTGGACGCAGTGACGCCGCCGCTGGGGAGTGGAAACAACCAGCTCAACTCCTTCCTGCACGTCTACGTTCCGGACTATTCTGTGCGCGCCCTTTCCGATCTGCAGTTTGTCAAGGTGAGGGGTGGCCTGGCAGGCCCCGCGGCAGTTGCCGCGGAAGCAGCGCGTGTCCCATGGCCTCCCGACCCTGGGTCACCCGCTTGTCCTCGCCCAGGCCCCGCCGCCGTCCGGTGGCCCTGTGCCGTCCGCCCCGACACAGGCTGGGATGTGGGCCTCGGTTCTGTTGGGTGAGCTGTGGAGGAGACGCAGCTCTCAGGGAGCGGGCCGGTGTGCCAGGAGAGACCAGCCGTTCCGGCGCGCCCGGCTCGCGGTCTCGGGCGCCCCGGCAGGAGGATGGGGCGATGCCCTCGGAGGGTTGCTGCGGCGCCCCCTGGGCCCCCTTCTGCCCTGGTTCCGGCCCTTCTCGTCTGGCACAAGACGACTTCTGGAGAACAAGCCAGGTTTGGCTGGCGGAAGCCGACTTGCTTTCTGGTCGGCCGTTTTTGAGGCCAGACCGGGAAGGGGCCGCACCGGGCAGACCCGACAGCTCACCAGCGGTGACCTGAACTTAGACGCGGCCGGCGAGCGCTCGAGGGCGACTTCCCGGAGAAGCCCCGTGGGCCCTGGGGGCCTCACGCGCGGCGCCTGCAGGCCGGGCCCAAGAGTAAGCGTTGTCTCGGTTTGTTTTCTGTGCCGCCTCCCGCCCAGATCTCGCGACAGCAGTACCAAAATGCTGTGATGGCCTCCCGGATGGACAGAACACCACAGTCTTCGGACAGCGAAAACACTAAGCTCGAACTGACTCTCACGGAGCTGCACGACGGGTTGCCGGACGAGACGGCCAACCTGCTCAACGAGCAGAACTGCGTGGCGCACGGCAAGGCCAACCACAGCCT